CTACCTCACAAATCTCCCAGAAGCCTCGAAAAAGAAGAGAATAACAAGTACCACAAAAATCCAGGCTCGTAACCTACAAAAATTTGTAGAAGCAAGGGGTGAGTACCAAACCACACGGTACTCAGCAAGTAAACCTCTAAACACGAGCTAATGGGATAGAATACAAGTACTCCTTACACCCCAACCGAACCTTCACAACTACAATCTGTAAAAAAATCAACCCAACCTAACAGTTCACAATTTACTAGCACATATCTCAACAACAACATTCTAACAATCATATATTCTCAACAACAAGTTCATCAATTACTACCTCCACAACTACAACCTGCTTAGTACCAGCCCAACATAACAGTTCACAGTTTACAAAGCACATAGCTCAACACAACACTCTAACAATTTCATATCCTCAGCAACAACAATAGTTTCATATCCTCAACAACGCTCTAACAATTGCATATCTTCAACAACAAGTTCAATATTCATCAGTCACAAGTTCCATAGAAAGGCACTCACAAGATCAGCAACACACAAGATCAAGTTCACCAATAATAAAGAAGTGCAATGCAATGAAATGCAATGTCAAGTATAGTGATGCATGTCTGACCTAATGATACACACCCGCTGTCTCTCAGTCCGGAACCCATGGGGGACATATCTGTCCATGCATCCATCGCGGCGCGCGATATGACCCTCGATAATAGTAACCATCGCGGCGCGCGATACGTCCCTCGAAATATAGTATCCGTCGCGGCGCGCGACACGTCCCTCGAAATATAGTATCCATCGCGGCACGCGATACGTCCCTCGAAATGGTACATCCTCTTTATTTTCTTATTCTTTCTCAATGCACATAACACTTGTCACAACCATGTCTCAGAACAATGCAAATGACATGTTCACACAAATAATGAGGAGATGGCCATTTTCATAACATTGCACAATTCACAACAAGACAATCAGGATACAACATCAACGATGATTCAACAAGCCTTTCAAACAATTCTCAACACATCACACAAACAATTGATCACATTGCCTTTTATTATCCTTTTTTCATCATTAGAATTAATCAATGTGGACAAGTCAATCCATCACCAAGCCTCATTACCCTAAACACATATTACAAGGAAATACATGAATTCCATACGCTTAACAAGGGTTTAGAAATCCACTTGCCTCAATTAATCAAGAATTCACCCCATGACTTGAGTCTTCCCCTTTCGTTGGGCTTCCAAATCAATGCAATCTATTCAAATAAATCACTACAATAAGATTTTGAAAGTAACAACACCCGCATTACTATGTGTTTAGCCTTGACCTAAAACTCACCCAACTCTATAACAAGTTTCTAAATTGTGATGCCAACTAATAGGTCAAATCTCATATTTCCTAAATTTCAAGGCTAGGGTCAAGTTCCAATATCTCCAAATATCATGTATATAATTATATTCATATGATGCAATACACCTACTTATTTAATTATATGCCTTAATATATCAAAACTTGAATCATAATATGATAGTAAAATAAGGATTAATAAATACGAAAACCACTGGTTACGAAACCAGTGGTGGAACCGCATAAGCCAAGGAGCCAACTCCTCGCATGTAACCTCCCCACGAATCAGACCCCAATTTCAAAAATATGTAGCCAACAATCAGCCAAATCTCATTCTTATTAGCCTTCAATAAATAACCTTAACCTTCCAATTCAAATCTAATATAATATATAAATATATATGCCGCAATTAATGAAAGCATATGCAGAGCAATTAATGTAAGCATATGCCTATGAGAAATTGAAAATTTTGGTTGAATTTTCCTTACGTGAAGCAGTTCCTCCATCTTTGGTCCGTGTTCACGCCACACGCACGCAGGTTAGTTTTCTGCTTTGCTTTATTTTATTTTCTGAATAAATCAGGTTCTAAAAGTGACAAACCCTAATAACCTATTTTAATATATGGGTAAAAATAAATTATAATTTGATCCATTAATCACCAATCAAATTAAAAGACATTACTTAATAAATACCTGCCAATTAATTAACTATAATTATTGAATAGTTCAAATTTTCAAACCAACTTCACCGACTAATCATAAATGACCTGGGACAACTATCAGTAGTGGTAAAATAATAATTTTGTATAAATTTCTAAAAATGACTTTACAGGTCATTACACATTCCCTCCATCCGGATACATTAAGATCAACATAGATGGAACTTTTATGCAGAATTCAGGGTTAGCGGGATATGGAGGCATTGCAAGAGACGATAGGGGTAGGTGGTTAGGAGGATTCATGGGGCGATTAGGTGTGGTAACAACGTCGTGCCTCACGGTGAAACTGTGGGCCATACATGGCGGGCTGACCCTGGCGAAGAACTTCTAACATGAAGAACATCATCATCGAGACAGACTCTCATGAAGCATTGATGCTCATGAGTAAGAGAGGCGTTGTCGACAATCACCCTGATAGTGACGTCATAGAAGAGTGTCGGCGTATTCTATTTGAACTTGGGATCTCCATGGTGCATACTCTAAGGGAAGGAAATAGTTGTGCGGATCACCTCGCGAAACTGGGAAGAATGCAACTGGATGAAGACCTTGTAATACTATATCGTCTGTCACATGCAAAGCGCCAACTTCTTTTCGCGGACATGACTCACGTTGCATACCCTAGGTACCGAAAACATGTACGGTAGTTTAGTATATATAGCACAAAAGAAAAAAATATGAAGTTACGTTGTATGTAAACATTTGTAAATGTTTATAACAATATTAAATTGAAATATATTTGTATTAATTAATGTTGTAAGTTGTTATGATGTTGTCCGTGAATATTTCTCATTTTAAATGTGAGTTTAATACACCCTTTGTTATTAATAAAACATTTGCAATATGATGAATAACAAAGGTACTATTTCAATTTGGAAACACCAGAGATAAGAGATAATAATCAACAGAGCTACTTTGTTCAATTACATTTTTTTGAATCACCGTGTCAGGATATTTATAGAAAGAAAACAAAGGAATGTTAAGGCTACATTTGTAAGGTGCAAGAGTGATTCTGCAATGATATACTCCCTCCGTTTCAATTAGTTTGTCATACTTTTCTTTTTAGTCTGTTTCAAAAGAATGTTTCTTTCCATTTTTGACAATTCTTCAATTATAACTTTTAGATGACATGTTTAAGTCCATAAAATTAAAAATTATTTTAGTATATTCTACATATTTTTAGTTTAAAACTACATATTGTTATAGTCTCAAGGAAAAATGACTTTTTAGGAGGACGAGTAGGTGATGGAGAATTGGGAATTTTTAGTAAATAAAAAGGATATATTTGGTCATATTTTGAAAATTCGAGAATTGTTTTGTAGTTAAGTGAAATATTATAGGATATAACGACAGTTAAAATAAAATAATAAAAATAATATTTAGTTAAGCCAAAATTACATTGGATTACAATTTACATGCATATATATTTGTCACTTTGTTCATTACTAGTGCAATAATGTATGTGATGGGCCCAAGAGTTAAAAGTGGAGCAACTTTCACGTATATCAAACATAAAAATCATATATGTATGTTATAGCTATAGCTTGTATAATTGTGCTCTATAACAAATTTTATGTTTGCTATGGAGCTTTTGATTTGTATAATTCGCTAGAAACATCCAATTTTATACAAATTTTATGTTTGCTATGGAGCTTTAGATATTCAAAAACTACACGAAAAGTACTATAAATTGCAATTTTTTGCATATCAATATGATGAAAAAATACATCATAAAATATTAGTCAAAGTTTTAATAGTTTGACTCTAAAAAGAAAACTATGACAATTAAAAGTGGATGGAAGAAATAATTTTCTATTCAGAGTATATATAAATTGAAAACTTGAAATTGAACAAATAGTAATTATCGATTTACCACACCGCTAAATATTGAAATCAAACTTAAAAATGTCAAACTATATCGATTAATTTTTAAAAGTCATAATTCTCTATTCTATGAGTATATGTAAGTTGAAATTTTGAAATTGAAATAAGTTATAATAACGGATTTACCGTATCACTAAATATTACAATTAAATTTTAAAATGTGAACTATATCAAACTAATTTTTAAAAGTCATGATTTTCTATTCTAAACTTGAAATTAAACAAATTATAATTACCGATTTATCATAATACTAACTATCGAAATCAATTTTGACATGAGGAAATAAATGATGGTCCCACATATAATCACAATAATGTTGGCTGGCAGGTGAAGCACACATGTTGATGGTGTTGCGCTAACTCTCACTTATAGAATAAGAGAATTTATTCCAGATTCTTAATACACGTTTCCAGTTACTACACACAAAGTTACAACTTACATTTACACATTGTAACAATATTTAAAATTCCTTAAATATTTTTTTTTTTCTGTGACTAATTTAAGAAAATTAAACTAGTTTAAATAAATAACTAAGCAATAATCTACAGACCGTAGCAGCTTTATAAACAAGTTGACTCCGTGGCCCAATGGATAAGGCGCTGGTCTACGAAACCAGAGATTCTGGGTTCGATCCCCAGCGGAGTCGTACATTTTTATTTTATGCAGCTTTCAACAAGGAAAATTGGCTATGCATATTTCGTGCTGTATTTATGGACACATTTCATTTTTTGAATGTCAGTTTAAGTTTGATCGAGAATTTACTCATGGACTCTTCAAATTTTTAAAATAAAATTTATATATTTGTAAACTACGTAAAAGTATTATAAGTTACAATAATTGATAATTCAAAATACTTAAAGATATTTGATAACTTGTTTGAGTCTCAAAATTCGAAATGTGTCTGATAAATTGAGACATCGAGTAATTTTTTGCACTTCAATTATTTTTGTTTGGAATAACACATTCAAGTACACAACATGCCATTAAGAAATGTCTAGTACATTTATTTTCTAAGTGAAAAAAAGAGAGCATAAATATCATACTCTAATAGTACAATATTTTAAAGTAGATCAAGTGTCATTGGGATTTCATAGGGAATCCATTCATGTCCATGTAGAAAATTTCGAACAGTAAAATTAGAAACATCATACTCTGAAAGTATTTTTGCCCATTTCACTCTTCCATCCATGTTAGCTCCTGGTCCTCTGTTATTATACTCACCAAAATATATATCTTCTGTATTCCCATTCCATTCAACCCAACCTTCTGGATCAATGAAATCATCTAGGTAACTTGACATCACGATCGCTCGCGAGTGATTCTTCCAAGGCCTTCCTAGGAATACTCGTACCTGTAATGACAAAATCAGAAATTTATTATTAGTAATATATATAAGGGAACTTGCAAAAAATGCAAGAGTATATATCGGATTTAAACATGTGACTTACAATATATTTTGTAGAATCTCCCCTTATGTATATCAAAGGGGGTTCGATAAAATTATGTATAACAAAATGAACATGTTATAACCCTATTGCATGTGCATTATAACTTGTACATTAGAGGTGCGTCCTTTCCATTCTACTCGTACTAGGGAAAGGTCCTTTCAATGCTATAACGCCCACACCAAATACCGCGTAGGGGCAGGGGCGGCTCAACGTAATTGGGGGCCTAAAGCGAAATTTCAATTTGCGGCCTAAAATATAAATACACTTCATATACGTATTTATTCAAAAATAAAATAAAATACACTATTAAGATGAAAATTATTAGTACTTAATATCGTTTTTTGAGTTACTAGTTTTAGGTAAGATTTTATCAACTCAACATTGAAAAACATCCTTTAAGTGAGACAATTATTATATGTATTGTTAACATAATGATATAAGTAATAAGTTGATAAATATTAAATAAAGATAAGAGGTAGAAGTTTAAAATCATAGAATTTGACTCAAAAAGTTGATGACTTGGTATACCTCATTTTAATATGCTTAGAGTAATGCTTGAAACTAAAATTTAAAAAGAAATAAAAAATAATTTGTAATTCACTTTGTTCAACACTTTTCACTGTTAATTCTTATTTTTAACAGAGTACAAAAGATGTTAAAGTGGATAAAATAATTTATTTTTAAAAAAATTATACTTTTTATCATAAATAATTAATTTTTCTATAAAAAAATTAACACATAATTTATTCTTGACAAAAATTTGGGGCCCCCGAAATTTGGGGGCCTAAGGCAAAGACCTTATTTTTGAAAGCATAGAGCCGGCCCTGCGTAGGGGACTCAATTGAAGTATTGAACCCCTTCCCTTGGACAATATTTGGTGAAGTTCAAAAAAGGGGGTATTTGAACTTAAATTATAAAATCGATTTCATATTTAGACATATTTTTCTCTTGGAAAAAAAACTTCATATATATATATTTTTTAAATAAACTAATATTTCACTTGAAATACTCCTCAAACAAGTATTTCAATATCTCACTAGAATTCAGTAGTTGCAAGTAATAATGACAGAACTTCAACTCGCAAAATGTCAAATTTTGCAAGTGAAGTCACAAACAAACACTCCTAACTAAAAAATGTATTATTCTTAAAACTTTATGTTTTAAATGAGGCAATCATACAATTTAATTGATATTACCTTAGGTTCACGCTCGCGCAGCTCTTGTGACACATTTATGGTGCAACCTTGAAGGACAATAGCAGTATCTTCATGTTTACGTTTTCTTCCTTGGGCAGTTATAGTCACTTCATTTTGAATATCTTCAGGTTTTCTAACACATATACTACAATTTTGAAGAATGACTTTTGCGTTACCAAATATAAAGTCCACCGTACCATAGACTTCACAATCTCTGAAAAATTGTACACCTTTTCTTGCGTAAAGTGTATCTTGATAGCCATCGAACTTGCATCGATAAAACGCAACGTGATCAGCTGAAATACTCGTCGCGACCGCTTGATGCATCGATGCTCCAGCAGTATTTTGAATTGTAATGTCTTGTGCTACGAATCCATGGCCATGTATATCTATTTTGAACCAACAACAAAAAAATATCGCATCAATTTTACCTAAAAAAGATAATTGGCAAATGTATATTTTGGTATACAATTGTGTATATTGTTTGTATATTTAGCTAGCGTCTATAATCAATTTTGATCGATGAGCAAAAAATGAAAAATTCTAGTGTAAAAGAAAATAATTTTACGTAAACATGTTACCTATATATAAGATAGTTGTAGAATAACAAGATAGGCAACTTATGGTAAATTAAAATATATAAATGAGTAACGTAAAGGATCTTTACATTATAAGTTTTAGAATCTGGTTGAATAAAAAGAAAAAATTATTTCAAATGATTGTGTATTTAACTTTTTCTTCTTTCTCCATCATTCAAAATGAAACGAAAAGTTTTATAAGGTAATTGTTGACTTTGAAATTGAAAAATGTTTGTTCTAGGCAATATATATGAATTAAATCCAAAAATAAAATATGTCAGGTAACCGTTCAGTTATAATAATCTTGAAAATAAAACAGACGATTACTGACCTACAGTAGCAGTCTCATTTGTTTTGAATCCCGTGCCATTGCTTTTACGTCCAGTAATAATGGTACGGTCCATTCCTTCACCAATAAATGTTATATTAGTCTTATTTTTATGAACAAAAACATGTTCATTATATATCCCTTCTTTAATTTGTATGGTGTATATCCTATCACTGTTATTTGGAGCTGCTTGCAATGCTTCTGTTATGGACATGAAATTTCCACTTCCATCTAGTGCAACTATAGCATCGAAAATCGACGACGACGAAGGTGGAGGAGGAAGAGGGAGAGGAAGAGGAGGAGGAGGAGATTGGCTCTCTAAACCCCAAAATAGTGTTGATAATAAAGCTAATAAACCAAGTGTCATCTCTTTTCTTTGAATATATATATGTAGATGAAATATTTTCCTTCTCTCTCCTACATCCAAAAACACCAAAAAAGAAATAAAATAAAATATTATGATTAAGAATAAAAGAAATATTAATATGGGAAATCTTTAGTTGATTGAATTTGTTTTTTCTTTAAATATTCGTTTGACTTTGACCTGTAAATTTAATCAGATACTTTCTCTCACAAAACATCAAAATGTATGATCAGATGGGAGTTAAGTAATCCAGTTGGTTGACTACTAATAGTTACTTACTTGCTGAGAGTTCAATTTAATCCTCTTCCCCTCCCCAATTTTCAAAAAACTACTAATACTATTTCCAAAAAGAAAAATGAGAAGAAAGAAAAGTATAACTTTTATATTTTATTTTCAAATTATTAATTAGCTCACTTAATAAAAGATAACAAGTAATTATTATAAACTAATGAGAATATTAGTTATATATTTTTTATTTTAGTATTATCCTTATTAATGGTACTTTAGAAATTTAAATTTAACTATTAATTAGTTTTCAAAATAGATACTTAATAATATAGAATACTTGGTATGTAAAAAGAAGCAAATGAAACTAATCTATATATATATATATATATATAAGTTCAACCCCAAAAGAAAAAGAACTTACTTAATGGCTTAATTTAGTAATTAGGGAAAGTATAAAGTTACCTGGGAATTATGGATCACTATCTCTTACTCCTCAAAATCTGATATCCTGGACAATTACATAGAATTACGTATATATATGGAGAAAATTAATTCAAGTATTCAACAATTAAGTAACATTTTTAGCATGGCTAATTCATTTGTTCTTACTTAATTTAAGAATATATTTATTTATGAAACTTAACTAATTAAACCATCAGTTACCCTACAGGAAAATGGAAACGGACACTGATATATGTTGCACTTTAAGATAATATGCTTTTATGAAAGCTAAACATATAATTAAATACAAATTAATTCATCTGTTTAATTAGAACTTTCTGAACTTGGTTAGGAACTTAAGCATCAACTGATTTATGAGTTTGTAACTGTAGGTAGTAAACTACTCAAGTCAAATTAATTTATGCACGCATAACAAAAATCTGTTTCGTTTTGGCATAATACATAAATGTATCATTTATGTTCTGACTTTAGGTGTGTACAAATATGCACTTTAACTTGTATAAAATTGAACAAATTGATACAATCGACCTACATAGCAAATTGTGTCCTACGTAGAGTCCTACATATATTGTGTCACGTAGGACACATGTGTTTACTTGTTCAATTTTATACAAGTTTAAGTATCTATCTGACACACCCAAAATTGAAGGGCATAAATGCAAGTTGAAACCAAATTAAAGAACATATTTATGTATTTTACCTTTTTTTTGGCATTCATATATATCATTTACAGGTTGTTTTGTAAGGAGGTATTAAAGAAAATAATATATGTATTAGCTTTGATAGTCCTTGACATATATTATTACTATGGGTAATTTTATTTCCTTCAAAGAAAACAATATACAAAAATAGAAAATGAAATAATAAATAATGATTTTCGGTACCAAAAAGGGAACCATCTGAATGAGGCAATAATTGGTACGATTTTTTTATTTTTTTTTGAGATTAAGTGAGAGAAATGTGGATCAATTTAACTTGTTAGCTTGTTCTTAAGCAAGTAGTTTATGATTAAATAAGCTTATTAAAAATGAAAATGTAAAATATAAATTACTGAAATAATAATGTTTGAGTTTGACGGAACTAGCCTTCTGCAATAAATTTCGAAATCATAGGTATAAATATGTGTGTTCTTGAGAGCTAGCTAACTATATTACTTAGTATTGGCGAAAACTCAATCTTTTACTAGTGAATGAAATCACTATTTATAAATAATAAAAGAAACACATCAATCAATGAGAACGCTCGATTCAAGCTCTATAGTACGCCGTTTAATAGAAATGTTTCATCTGAAATATTGTTATATGTGTTAGCTATTATTTTCATGTTATATATTAGCTAGCGAAATCTTGTATATTGGGCTTTGGTTGAAGTGTCTTACCTTTTAACACATCTTTGGGCCACGAGTCCTTTTCTTCATTTTTCATGACTTCAAGCCACGAGTTCCCTCATTTTTCTCTAACAATAATCATTTGGGTGATCCGACAACAAGACGAAAGTAAATAAATTGGATATGCAATAATCTAGGTATTTAAACAATAAGACCTCACACTATAAAAATAACAATTTTTAGCGATAATAAATATGAACATTAACAAAAAGTGTTAAAGTCTTTATGGGTATTAGTTAATTGTCATTGGATCCAATGCCGCTATAGGCTTTAGGGACATTTACAAACAGAGGCGTATCCAGGATCTCAAGAACATGGGGGCACCATTATCTTCAAAATAGACAATTAATTCAATTATATAAATTTTACGGTGAGAACAAGTTGACGAGAAAGTAGGTAGTAGCAATCTTTATATAGTAATATATTAGCAAAAAACATCATTCACTTACAATTGTCCTCGACGAGTTTTAAATATTTTGAAAACGGTCAATAATGGCATCATTACTTACATTTTTAAATATACTACGCTCTATATAGCAAACTAAACAACCATTCAAAAGATCTTCATCCATCCTATTACGCAAATCATTCTTTATGTACTTCATTGATGAGAATGCTCTTTCCACACTTGCGGTAGCAACAGGAATAATCAAAGTTAACTTCACAAGTAGATACACAAGTGACCAAGTTTGATCTAGTTTTGTCTCTATCATCACTTTTGCAAGATCCTTGATTCCCTTCAAGTTGAGAAACTTGCTATCACACTTTTGAGCATCGACAATAAAATCATCAAGTTGAAAATTGAGTTCCCGAAGCTCTTTATCACCAAACTCACTTGGGTAGTACTCGGCTAGTTTCACTATCCTATCCTTGTGAAAATTAGCAAATGAATCAACCGGACTCAAACTAGCCATACCGAGGAGCAAGTCACTAGTCACCACATCAAAACGATTATTGAGTTCTTGAAGTGCCAAATCAATGACGGCATAAAATACTTCCACACGAAAGTGATGCAAATATGAAATATTGGACCTCTTACGCTTCGACTTCCCATTAGAGTAGTCTTCATTCATTTTGGGAATTGAAATTCCATGTTTACCACAAAATAAGCTAACCTCATCCATCATAGAGTCTCATTCATCCTCTCTCATCATTTGCAATCGTTTCTTTGAAAGGTCAAGCAATCCCATAGCATTAAGATATCTTGATCTTTCTTTTGTAAAACTTTATTCAACTCATTCGTCAATAGCAACACCTTAAACATCAAGTGCAACATAAAGACAAATTCAAATTCATGAATCTTGCTCAAAAGATTTTCCGCCGCAAATCTATCAAGATGATATGGACAATCACGTTTCATATCCTTAAGCACATTAACAATTGAAGAAAAAAGAATCAGGAAATTGTCCAAGGTTTTAAAATGAGACCCCCAATGAGTATCACCCGGTCGTTGGAGGCCACGTTCTTGATTCAAACCTTACCCTGTATGAACTTCTCCAAATTTAAGCAACTCTTTCAACTTATCTTCTTGATGTTGTCGAAGTGAATCTCTGCGTTTAAATGAAGCTCCAATAGTATTCAAAATATTAGTGAGAACATAAAAAAAATTATCCACATCCGAATTCTTTTTGGAAAGACCTACAAGTGTCAATTGCAATTGGTGAGCAAAACAGTGAATAGAATATGCAGATGACGTATCTTGTAAAATCAAAGACTTGAGACCATTTATTTCCCCTTGCATATTACTAGCCCCATCATAACCTTGACCACGTATTTTGGATGTACATAATGAGTGATCCAAAAGCAAAGAATAAATTGCCTTTTTTAATGATTGAGAAGATGTATCATTTACGTGGACAATACCCAAGAATCGCTCTATCACCATTCCACTTTTGTTGACATATCTCAAAATTAGAGCCATTTGCTCCTTATGAGAAACATCCTTTGATTCATCAACTAATATTCCAAAATAATCACCGTCCAAGTCTTCAATGATAGCCTTAGTTGTTTCTTTAGCACAAGCCTCCACAATATCTTTTTGAATTGTCGGACAAATCATCATATCATTTTGTGGAGCATTACCTAATATTACTCTTCCCACATCAAAACTTCTATCCCCATACCATTTCAAAAGTTCAAGAAAAGCACCCTTATATTCGGAACCTTCACTTTCTCATGCCCACGAAATGGAAATCCCGATGTCAAGAGAAATCTTGCTACATCAATTGAGGCATTTAAACGCATCCGATAATCACTTCTTGCCTTTTCACTTTGCTTGTCAAAAGAAGATTGGATCGATTGTCGTTGGTTTTTCAAATCTTGCATCCTATTGAAACATTTATGATGGATACTATTTACCTTACCAACATGTTTTTTGAATCTTTCTAAAGCTTTGTTCCAACACCTAAAACCATCTCTTGTAAATGAATCTCCGGCATTTCCACGACTTTCAAGTTCATTCTTGAACAAATAACAACACAAACAAAATGCCGCGTCTGCTTTAATGCTATATTCCAACCATTGAGATCTTCTCTTAAACCAAGTTGGTCGAAATTGACGCATTTTTTCTCCAAACTTAGTTTTAGGGAAGATATGATCAACAGGTTGACATGGCTTTTTTTGAATGTAATACCTCTTTACCGCATCTCGAATATTAGGACCATAAGATGAAATAGGCATTCGATCTTTGGGATCTGCTTCAAGAGATTTAAAATCAAGCATATTATCCATATTTGAAAGTGGAAAAGAATTTGTATGTCTTTGAACTTCCGGAGCAACTTGTGAACTCACAAATGGTTGATTAGAGCTAGAACTTGGTTGGCCATCTTTTGGCTTTGGTAACTTGATGAGAAACTTATCCATTTGTGATTTGATGAATTGATTGCAAGAATTATTTTACCTACAAAATTAAATATTCACCCTTCTATTCAATCTTATAAAAACAAAATAATTTTTAAAAAATATTAGCACAAATAACAAGTTTACTAATAAAAGAATCACAACTATTAGATAACTATTTAGAAATCAAGAAATTCTTATAAATTTAAATATTCAAGCAATCAAATAATGGAACCACTTCATAAATCAAGAAAAACATATAGATAACTATTTAGAAATCAAGAAATTCTTATAAATTTAAATATTCAAGCAATCAAATAATGGAACCACTTCATAAATCAAGAAAAACATATAAAACAAATGAAGTACATTAATAAATAATTTTTTTTTTAGATAACATACCTTGTTACTTGTTCTCAAATCTCACTTCTACTTCACCATGAACAACAAAGTGGAAATGTGGAATGAAGCCAAAAGAATAACAATATGATGTCTTTACTCCTTTTTACCTTTTAGTTTAGGGCTTTGAAAAGTCAAAAGAAAAAGTTAAAAAAAATAAATAAGAAAAACGTCTAAATAAAGAAGGAAAGGAGAAAAAGAAAGTAAAAAATATAATTTAACTTTATTGACACTTCTAGCTTAAGGTCTAGACATAGCTAATGCAACCTAAAAATATGGGTAATTGAATCTCTTTTTATTTATAAATTATTAAAAAGATCTATGAAAAGTGGCACATTTTGTTATATTAATTAAAAATTTAAAATGTTAATGTGGATAGAAAATTTTGAACCACAAATCTATAAGTTATGCACCCCCTATTTGTACTTACTTATCAATATACTAGAGTATTCTTTTTAACCTTGGGTTCACCAATACAAATTTAAAAAGATAATTAGAAAAATAGTAGTATTATATAGGGGTTAGGAAGGGGAGGATGGGTGCATGTGAACCCCCTCCCCTTCATGTACATACGCCCCTGTTTACAAAGAGTGATAAATGCCTCTAAAAACATATTTGGCGGCAATTAAAGTCTTTGAGACTCATTTTTATGTAATAGATCACAAATCACACCAGAAATATAAATTACACAAGGCAAACTCAGTATGATAAGCTTGACTAAAAAAACATTAGCAAGAAAACATCATATTTTATGGAATAGCTAGTACATATTGCACCAATGCAGTCCCCCTTACGGGATCATATGAAATTATTTTCAAATAGAATATAAATATTTTGTCTTATTATGTTAGTAATAAATAAAGGGAAAAGGGTTAAAAATGCCCTTAACGTATTTCAAATGGTTCAAAAATGCCCTCCTTCCATCTTTTGGTTTAAAAATGCCCTCAACGTTTTTTTAAGGTTTAAAATTGCCCTTTTTTAACAATTGGCTGACATGGCAAATGTGACATGGATTTGATTTACCCATTTCAAAATATATGACTCACTTAGTCTAAAAACCAATTTCGAAAAATTTGACCCGATGGGCTGATCGTTTTTTGGGTCTTTTGTTCCCATTAGCTCTAGTTCTCTTCTTTCTTCTCCTTCAATTCATCTGTTCAAAAATTTGACCCGATAGGTGAAAATTGATTACAACCATCTTGGACAACTAATTCTTAGGATTAAAATTCATATAATAACTCTAAGGAATGGTGCATTAAAAAAGGTAGCAATTAACCCGAAGTTATGCATAAGCAAATCTTTCAAGGGTATTAGTTCGCAGCCGCACAAGACCAGGGAAAACTCTACAACTAACCAAAGATACCAATGCTTTTTCACAACACTCTAATCACACACAGATCCCGCGTGCATCTGATGGAAACTGTGCTCCAGCGAAGTGCAGGCCAGTGCATCAAAGTGTTGGTGAAGATGGTGAAAACAGTGACTCGAGAAGGTATGCAGGCAATTGTTTTCCACCACACTCAAGTGGCATAGCAGAAACAGAGTGGAGTAGACAATTCACATGCTCGAGGTGTAGGGGAAATATCCAACAGTCATGCAAATGGTGCAAGCAAGAAGACACGGGAGGCGTATACCACTTGTCCTGATGAAACTGAAGAAGATGACATTCCTCTGGTAATTTTTGGTGTGGCTTAAGCAGATAAAATAGCGCCTCCAATTTGAATATGTTGAGAATGGCGCTAAAATGGAGTTTCAAGGATATGTTAGGTTAATATCTAAATGGGTTTGTGGGTGGGTTTGAGTTTTTGTATTATATATGGGTCGGGTCGTTGGGCTGGATTTTTAAAAAATAGGTGGACCAATAAGATGAAGCCATTTGTCTAATTTAATGACTCAGCATTTGCCATGTCAACAAGCTGTTAAAAAAGGGTAATTTTAAACCTTAAAAAAACGTTGAGGGCATTTTTAAACCAAAAGGTGGAAGGAGGGCATTTTTGAACCATTAGGAATACGTTAAGGGCATTTTTAACCCTTTTCCCATAAATAAATAATCTTAGACCAATAATGAATAAGTTTCTATTGATTATGTTTCTTGACCAAAATAAAAGATTTCTAACGAACATTTAAACTAAAGAAAACGTACTACTATCCACAGGAGCTAATTGTCATATGCATTTCCCATTTGAGTGTTGTACACATGTGGTTTGATGCTGATTGATGATCAACTCTCTTTGATTCTAAGCATTGCAGTTGAAACTCTTTTATAATCATATATTAGAAGTGTTCCGAAAAACTAAACATGATAGTTAACTGCTATGATAGTTCCCGTAGAAAAGAAATTATGCTTTATAAATTTTATACTATTAATAATATATTGAAATTGCAGTTGTTTGCTAGCAAAATATATCACATTTTCTTAAACAGATATAGCAACTCCAAGTCTTCTCTAGCAGTGATGTATAGTAGTTGTAAGCCTATAAATGTAAGTCTGGGTATATCTGAAAGTCTATAAGGAAGTAGTTGTATTTGTAACGAAACACACATTAAGAATACAAGAAGTTCAAGAAGACTTTAAGTAACATCACATTTTCTCTTTTTAATTCTTTAATTTGCGGTGCTTTTCCTGGAATATTTTACAAATGTTGATATCTAATCACCTTTTGGTTGGCCAGAATTTTATGTATTTTTTAGTTGTTGATGATTGTATGTACATTTAATTGCTTTTAGATGGGTAAGCTTAATTTGACCATACCTATTTTGAGACTTATCTATTGTGCAGCAGATCGGAAATATCGAGAAACACTTGTTAAAAACACCATGTCCTCCTAATAGTTTATTATATACTTTTTAATTTATTTTTTATTGATTTTCATATGGGATGCACGTGCAACGCATGTACCCAGAGACTAGTATTCTTATAAATCTCATAAAAACTGCACCTACAAACAAAAGTAAAAATTTGATCACAAGCCTTTTGAGCTAACAAACTACTTTCTCCCTTAGTCCCAATTTATATGACATAGTTCTAATTTCGAGAGTCAATACTTCACTTTGTGATGTTGTAGATGGTTGAAGAATCTTTATATTCGATAAGATGCTTGAAAAGAAACACGATGATCGAAGAATATGTAAATTTGATAATAGGCTTAAGAAGTGATTCATGTAAATAGAAAAATATTACTATTAAAAGATGAAACTAAGTAGACAACATAATGAAAAAGAAAAGTAAATGCACAACTGAACCTACAAACAAAAGTAAAAATCTGATCAAAAGTCTTTTGAAGCTAATTTAAAAGACTAGTTTTGATCCCAAAAAAAATAGTACTAGCATTTTAGAATAGTCTCTTCCAAATAGGGTGTTGCATCCACACTCTTTCGATCATGGAATCAATCGGAACTCCCTTCGTTTCAGGCAAGAAGAAGAAGACGAATAATCCCATGACAACAATCCATCCGGAGAAAAAGAAGAAAATGTATAGTCAAGAAAAGTTGTGCAATGATAGAAGTGAAGAGCATGTTTGTGCTGACCGCGAAAGCAAAACCAGTTGTTCTTGTTTCCAATGGGAATGTCTCACTAGGAATTAACCAACCAAGAGGTCCCCATGACCACGCGAACGACATCACATACGTACACACGAGAAGCACCACTATTATTGTAAGTGTCCTGTCCAACGTTCCCGTCTCAGACAAACTCGTTACCAAAATTGCTCCGATTGCCAATTGAGAAATTAACATTTGGCAACAAGCTTGGAGGAGCAGTTTTCTCCTTCCAACCTTGTCAACAAGGTAGATCGAAACGAATGTGCTGCCAACATTAACAATTCCAGTAATAACAGAGGACAGAAGCGAGGCATTAGCCTGAAACAGAACAGGCGCGTAAAACATAATGGCATTGATTCCAGTAAATTGCTGAAAGATTTGCAACAACACACCAATCACAAGTGGCGGAATGCTAGCAGGCAGGCTTCAGTAAGTTCTTCAACGAATGCTTAACTTGCTTGGCTTGTTCACACGCTGCCACGATTTCTTTATACTCAGCCTCAACATCACTGACATGCACCTCTAATCTTCATTAGCGAGGCCTTCCCCTGTTCCTCATTGCCACGCTCAACTAGACTCGTAGGGGTGTCAGTAATAACAAAACTACCAAAAAGAAGAATGACCGCGGGAATAGCTGCAAATCCAAGCGACATTCTCCAACCATTTGGATGTATCATTGATGTTCCATAGTTAACAAGATTTGCAATGATTATTCCTATAGTCACAAACAGTTGGAACATAATATTCACAGCTCCTCTGTGTTGGATTGGTGCAACTTCAGTTAAAAACAATGGAACAGTCTCGTTTCCAAATCCAACACCAACACCATATCAAGAAATCATCCGTAGCATAAACTCCTCCAAAAATACCAATATCATAACCAAACATCAGTCCACCAAAAGCAGCAAAAATCCAACAAGACACCACGTATATTGTTATCTTAGAATTATTCATTTTAACGTTCTACTTTTTTCTGATGAAAGGTATTTTATTTATAAACTAATGAACTCTATGCTATTTGTCGTAATAGAAAAGAGCTACCAAACTACCTTTATTTATAATAGTATAAGACCTAAGTTAGGTAG